ATGCAATGGGGCCAAAATCATCTGTCTTGGTGATATCTACTCATTCTGTGAAACTCCACAGGAAACACATGCTCTAGATTCCATCTATGTAATTAGGAATGTCATCTGGTGCATCTCCAGAGGAGACCCTTTTTTGTCATGGTCCTGGACGTCTGTAACATTATTCCCTGGGAGATTAGATTTAACCCACCACTTCTGGCTTTCCATAAGGTTTTAAGGACCTGGTTCTGTTGCTGAATCAGAAGGCCAAGATCTATGGTTAAGCCGGCGTTGTTGATTGCTTTGGCTTTATCTCAGCTTATTGTTTTATTATGATGGTTTTATTCCTAGATAGCAATCCAGAGTCCTATGTTTGAGATAGGCAGCCATATAAATTGAATAGACAGATGATAGGAGCGGGAGAGGGAGAGAAGGAGAGGGAGAGAGAGAGAGAGAGACAGAGACAGAGACAGAGACAGAGACAGAGAGACAGAGAGAGATGAGACATATCATGTAAATAAAACTTTGTTGCATTCATTAAACCTGCTTCACAAATTCTTATGCTCAGGAATGCTTACATGCACAAGCACAAGCAAAATCCTTCAACCTCTATCAGCTAAGATTATTATATTTTCAATATGAGTCTACCAGTAGTTTTAAATTATTAAGAGGGCCTTTCTTATGTAATACGATTTGGGAGGAATATAGAATTGATTGGTTATGTGCCATCAAGTCAGTGTGGACTTTAGCAACCATAGAGTTAGATTTTCTTCATAACAAGGGGAGTAGGAGGGAGGTATTTTGGTGTAACATCCCAATTGGCCACTGCTATCTGGTAGCTACCTTCAAACATACAATTACAATCATTTGCAGAAAATATCTCTACAGAAAAAGAGCTGGCAGCTGTGCTTGGTAAGCAGCAATTCATGACATGGAAGGAATTAACTGAGAGCACAGATTTGACTAACAACGTCAAGAAAGCTTGGAGCACAATTAGAAAGCTTAAGAAAGTCCCAGAGAAACCGAATAGCAGCACAATGTAGCAGCCAACCCAAAAGCACACTAACTGCTCTTAATGGTAAACCTCTGAACAAATTGCAGAAAAAGAAAATGAAATGGCAGGAGCATTAAGAGAATTAGTGTCACAGTGGGGGGAGGTGGGTTGCCGAGGAGCTCAAGACTAAATAGATAAAACCTCAGCATGCAGGAACCTTCAAGTAAAAGAGCTCATGGTAGCTCTTTATTTGAAAAATTGCAAGCTATAACAACTTAAATTTCCTGGAAAGTTTGACCTTTACAGCTAAATAGCATGGAGCTAAAACAGATTAAACTGTTTTCAAATTCCTCTCTCTCTTTTTGGTGTAATGGTAACCCCAAAAGTTAGAATGACGTAAAATCCATTTTTACTTTATGACTCTAATGGTCTACCATTTGGTGAATTAAGTAATGCTTTAATACAAAATAATGCTTCTTATATCAATATACCTCAACTGTTGTTATGTATGTACTGTAACTATATTAAATATTCCTTAGTCTTAATCAAGGTTTCAGCTAAAACATACCTGGAAAGATCTCACAGCTAGCAACATCTAGATCAGGCCTGTCAAGCTGGCGGCCTGTGGGCCAGATGCATCACATGCAGGCCACGCCCACCCTGGTTCCAGAAAGGCAAAAAAGTCACAAAATGTCACAATGCATCATGTGACTCGATCAAGTTTGACACCCATGATCTAGATCTACCAATATTTTTTCCCCTCTATATCAAGTACATATGATCCCTTGAAGCATCCTCCTTCTCCGCCATCTTGGTAAATTTCCCTTTATTCTGGAACCTGCAGCCCAAGCTTCCTGCATCTAATTTGATCTGCTAGCTATCATCCTCTTTTCTTTTGTTCAATTCCATGCATGGCTCCTTTCCTGATACCTCCTTAGCTTATTTCAGCCCTCCTTTCCTTTCATGTGGAAGAATCTACATGTATTTTTGTGAAAACCTCAATCGTTTCCACTCTTACCTATTTCCCCAGATGGAACTTATCAGCTCCAGGCTCAGTCTGTCTGTTCATAAGATCAGATTGGATGGTAGCCAGTATTTATTTGCTCAGTTCTGACAAAATTACTATTTTAAAGAGTTTTTTTTACAATGGAGGAGGTATAAAAATGCATATGAATACTGATAGTCAAACTGAACAAATATAATACTTTGGGCTAGGTGTCATGGAATTACTTAAGAACTGTTCAACTGGTGTCTAAAGACAGATGATGTTATCACAGTTGTGTCTGACTCTGGCCAATTATATGAGCCAGGTCTCTCCACATCTTCCAATCTTGCACTGCTTCTTTGAGTTTTTCTATGCTCTTGCTGGTGTCAGCTTTGATGGTGCTAAAAATTGGGGGTGGGTGGGGATGAGATAATATTGTATTGTAGCATTACTGAATAGTGGGGAAAAATCCTTCAAATTCAAACAACTACTAGCTGATCTAACTTCTGTGCTACCCATATAAGTTATGTGGACATGTAATTCTGAAAGTTCATCTCTAGTGGTTGAGAAATTCATTCTGCAGCAACCTGGATTTCAACTAGGAGAATGAAGTATGGGCCTGAAGATAAGGGAGGGGAGGACTGGCTGATATGGAGAAAATGCTGTACAGGAGTGACATGGGAAAAGCAAGAGCCACCAGGGATCAAAAAGGTCAAGTTAAAATTTGTGACAGTGAGATTGAAGCTCCTTCCTTATACCTGTATTTTCATTACACAAAGGTAAAAGGGACGGGGCTGCAAATAAATTGCTGAAAATAATGATTTTTAAAAATCCCCCTGTTGGGCAGGGGAATGATTATAAGGAGTAATCTATTCCCCTTATGCAGGCCTTTCCATTCTTACCTTGTTCTATTCCAGGAGTGGGGAACTATGGCCCTTTTATGACTTGTGAACTTCAACTCCCAGAATTCCTCAGCCAGCCAGGAAATATGGGAGTTGAAGTCCACAAGTCATAAAGGGGTCATAGTTCCCGACCTCTGTTCTATTCTCTCATCCCTCCCATCCCGCATTTGTATTTATATGCTTACTCTGAGACTGCCCAAAGTTTTTCTATCATCTGGACCAATATTATACTGCAAGTCAAGTATACTTCAGTGCCACTCAATTAATGTCTTTATTGCAGTCATTCTAATGCACTGCACAACAGATGAAAAGATAGAAAATAAACCTCTGCAGCAGCTGTGTGGCAGAAGGAATTTAAGAACCCAAAACAGGAAAATATATATGTGGTTGGCTTAGCAACAGCCCGCTACTTTTTGCATGGGTGCATAAAAACCCATTTGGCTAGGATTGTGTGTATTCAACACCCATATCCTCAACTTATGTCTGTAATTGAGCCCTCAGATTTGGTTGTAACTCGTGCTGATCATAAAGTGACCTCCATGTGTCTGTGCCCAGTTTTACAATATATTTTTTGTGATAGTCATTAAGCAGATGTGATCATAAAGCAAACAAGATGGTCATAAATTAATGCCATGATTGTAAAGCAAAGCTTGTGGGATATTGCAAAGTCATCGTTCGCTATGGGGTTTTTTTGCCAAAAACTGGAAGTAAATGCCAGTATCTTGCAATAACATCATAAATTGCAGTCACCTGATCACAGGACTCTGAAAACAGCTGTAACTGTGGACTGGTTGCCAAGTGTCCAAAATGCATTCATGTGGTTAATGGTCTCCTAAAGTAGCATGGAATGCAATATCTTTCCATTCACAACTGTTTGCAGTGGCAACATGGGGGAGTGGATTAGGACAAAACATCTGACAATATCTTTCATACAGCAGAGGAATCCTATTCTTTGAACTCATCGCTGAGCTTCAGGAAAAGAAAAACGGAGGAAAGTCCCTTGGAGTTTCTGGGCAGATGTGTGATTTGAACACACTTCCTCTTAGAGAGACATTTGCATTATGATGGGAAATGGCTCATGACTGACATTCAAAGTGTTGCATCACTGGAGCACCTGGGAGCTACCCTTGACCCGGGCAGCCCTTCCATGGATCAATTCCCTGGCCATGCTGTCAATACAAGGATGAATGATGGGCAGAACACTGAAAGATCACATGCAGTGGTCAGATGGAACAGCACCACAGGAAGCGCCCCTACAATGAGGCCATATCTCTTATATGCATTATGCATGCTGCATTGCCTTCATTGGAGCATTTTGTGTGGGCTTAAGGGGAAAACCTCTATTTCCAGAGCAACAAAAGTACTTGATTTTGTTCAGCTCTACCTGACTGTGGGACCCAAGGAGAAATATGTCGACACAAGCAGTGCAAATGCTGAATGGACAAGCAAGTGGACACAACCGTTCTGATGGGGCAAGGAGGATATGCAAGGGAGTTTAAGCACATGCAAGCTTTATGGGATGCTTAAACTAAAGTGAAACTCAAGATTGAGCATGTGGCAATGTCTTCATTGCTGCTGAAAATCATATACTGTAACCTTTCTTTTGTTATCAAGCATTCTTCATTTCCTTTTTCAAGGTAACATTTTTGGTTTCCGTTATGATGACTTTTGGGAAAGTGTATGTTGTAGGTTTTAAGAGTATCTTTGGTTCACTCTTGCTAGAAAACTTCAGAAACCGAAGACTGGAGGTGTAGGGGGAAAAATAAATTAATCAGTTGTACTGAGACCTAAATTCCACTGACTTCAGCAGACCTTGTATCCTCCTACACATACATAGGATGGGACTCTAGTACCCATGTTGATAATTATAGACTAGCATAGATCCCAGATAGACCGGGCTTGATAGCAATTGCTTTGTGGAAATTGTAGCTTCTTTAACAGTTACACACAATTCCTTTAGAGGCTGAAATTGTATCATCAGACAGAATTGCTGCTGCTTCTGTTTTAGATAAATAGATAATTTTGCACATGAACACATGCACCTGAAACCTGCTGCTAAAATAATCACTCTCCTAGGCTGGTGACAATCCGTATTTCAATCCTCTGAAATATTCATCAATAAGGGAAGAGTTGCTGATTGCGATACTTTTTTTTTCTCTCTTTTCTTTTCTTTTCTCTAACACCGGGAGGAGGCAGACATTTGAAGCCACCAAGCAAAGCGGGAGGGAGAGCTTCGCTTTTCGCAGCCGTTTCCCCCTGATTGCGCTATTGAGAGACCTTTTTTTAAAAGGGGGGGAGGGAGGGAGACCCTTGGAAATGCAGGGAGGGCTTCCTGTAATGCCTTCCTGATCGGTTTCTCCCTAGAGAAGGGGGCAAGGCGGAAGCTGTGAAATTGGGGAAGCAGCTCCGTTGGTTCTGGCGCTGAGGGGGTTGACTGACAGTCTGCAGTGCAGTGGAGTTGGCGGGGCTCCCTATATGGCTAAGGATTTAGCTAGATGCTAATGCCAATCGGGCAAAGGAGCTGAGGTGAGCCTGCGAGCTGCCGCCGAAGAGGCGATCGGAGGCTGAGCAGAGCGCTCCCCCCACCCCACCCCACTTCCAGAGCCATGGCTGAAGGGGGCGAAGGAGGCGAAGACGAGATACAGTTCCTACGAACTGTAAGTATCCGTGGGTGCATCTGTGTCGGTGTTTCTAGATCAGGAACCCGGTTCTTTCCCCCCCCTCCCTCCAGGTCTTCTGAGGGGGTTCTAAATAAGGTTTCTCCCCAGTCCTTGGGTTTATTTATTTATTTATTTATTTATTTGCTTAGGAGTGAGTCTTTGGGGGAATCTTATTTGGAACCATCCCCTCGGGCATTCTGTCTCGCCTGAGATCTGCCCACCGACCTCCCCGGATCGAGTGGGCTGCCTCCAAAAGCGAGAGAGTTGGCTTGGCCATTCCTAGGCTCCCTCCGGAGCATCCTGGTCAACTTTGTACTTGGGCTTTGGAAATGCGGCACGCCAAGATACCTGCCCTCTGAAACTTCTCTCCTGGTTTCTGCTGCTTCTCTGCGAAATCCGAGAAGGGGGGAGAGGGAGAGGGGATCCGCGGTGCAATTCGCGAGCAAAAAAAACCCTCCTTGCAACTTTCCCACCCATTTCAGAGCAAATAGAAAGGGTGATCTTGCATGAACGCGCAAGGGCTCTTCCAAAGTAAACCACTATCGTCTCCGAAGCTTCCTTTAAAGGAATGCAGCACTTTTCTTGAGAGAAGGAGTGTTGGGCAGTGAAAGAAGCGAACGTGCTTCTCGGAATGCTCCAAAAAGAGCTTTCCCGTCCTGCCATAAGCTTTCAAAACAAACTGGAACGAAGATCTGATCCAGACGTTAACTTTACTGGGCTGTGGTGGAAAAAGACTTCTTTCTGCTCTCCAGGTGAAATCCTCCGGGTTGACGTATTTTGGTATTGATTGGGGGAAGAGCCCTCCTGCTTACTTCTCCATTTTTCACCTTCCTTAGGAGCAACTCCATCAGGGTCAAGTAGCCCTGTTGAGCTTGTAGCGCAACTTTTTAAAAGGTGGATTTCTTTCCAGCCTGTATCTTCTCAATATCCAAAATCAGCACCACATCGTTGTCAGCTGTTATTAGAGGAAGGGATAAGAGAGATGTGAGGAAGGTCCCACGGCTCTTGGGGGAAAAAAAAGAAAGAAAGAAAGATGCCAGCTGTGATAAAATATCATGCTCGCTTGCTTCCTGAAATCTCCTGATGGAAGAGCTAATTTTGGTGAAGAGCACTTTTGTTCTATAACATTTTCAGTGGCTTTATGAGATGGAACAGCCACCTGTCTATAGAGGGAAGAAGCTAAATATATATATATATATATATCCTAGACATCAGATGATTTATTGTATTTAATATTGTACTTTACTTCCTTTTGCTATTCCTCTGGCTTTGCACTTTCCAAAGTATATCTTTGATGTCAAATTCTTCCAAACAGCTAAAATGCTTCATTTAATATCCCCACTGAATAATAAAGCCCAAAGCTTCCCCGCTTCCAGACAAATGATGTATATCTTCTGCTTCCTAAAGTGGCTTCTGATGAAATGGTTATCTGTATTCTTTACCCAGCATGTAGAAACTCTTTCCATCTTTCAGTGAATTTGGAATATTTTTCAGCATATGATGTAAAGATATACTTGCTTTTAGAAAGCTTCTTCTTGGCACTAGTATATAGTGCAGAGATTGGACTGCTGTTTCTCCATTAACAGTACTCTCTTCCCCCTCTCCTTGCTCTTTCCAGACTTAATTCCCATCATAAAATCTAAACTGTAAGCATTCTTTCCCTCCCCCATATCAGAAAACTTATTCAGTGAGAGGATAGTGACTCCCAATATTTTTTAAAAAAATTCTTTATACCATACCAAAGGAGCTGGTATGATTGATTAACCTCTGGCACATTACTTTGATTGCTGCAATCATATCAATATTAATTATTCCCTGGGCACAGCAACCATGTATTAAGGCATGTCCATATCATTAAAACACTTTTGCATCTGTGTTTCTAGCTTCTTTATTGGAATAGCTCATAGCAATCCTTAAATTTGTGACATTCTAATTTATAGGAGCTAGTTTTGGATTAAATGTTAAGGAATAGCTTTTTAAGTGCAACATACTCCTATTCTTAGACTGGCAATATAACTGTGGACGTGACAGGTCTGATTAGAGACAAGATTCATAGTAATAACCTTGAGAAGTGCTCTTTTCAACAGATAATTGTTGAATATACACACTAGGATTTCCACATTTTTTCCTCACTCTGACAGCATCAGCTCTTTTGTCTCATGCTTTGCAGTCTTTATTCTGATTTATTACCCAAATTGAGTAAAAATAACCCATATGATTTCATTATTGTACTTAGACACCTCATTTTAAAGATGTCATTTGGAAGCAGTTGCCCTCTGCCTTAGAAGTGGTTAAATGTTAAGAACCAATTCAATAGTACTAAACATTTCTGTTTAGCTTTTCATTGGTTGTGTATTTTGATGTTCAGAAACTATGTTATTGACAAAAACTTACACGTGTCAAGTTTCTGAGGTTAAGGGTTTAAAATGGTGCTCCTAAGATAATACAGCACCAGCTAAACCTGTTGGAACTTGTCTGTATCTACATTGGAAGGGAATTTTGCTACTTTTGACCATTTGATTTCATCACTTTGTTTTAAATATATTTAAAAGGACTTACCAGTATTTCCCACTTTGTTGAACTGTTACATAATTTGCTGTATGCCTGATCTGTTTTTTTTTTCTTTTCCAAATTTCATATAAAATGTGGAAAAAGAACACATCAAGCACAAACTAAATTATGGACTACGGTTCAACAAAGAGGGAAATAAGTCCTCTAAAGTGAGGAATAGTGGACAATCAACCATTTGAATTAACATTGCAGATTTTTTAACAAACACCCTCAGGATTACATATTTGAAAAATGAAAAGTAAACTGGTTAGCACATTTATTGCCTCATATAAGGGTAGCACAATTAGCAGGCTGATAAAAAGGTGTATTAAAGATTAGAAAAGCTAGGATTTAAAAATTAGGCATAAATACAGGCACCACAGGTACAGTAGGATTGTTGTGTGCAAGTGCTGGTGACAATGCTGATAGCAATAGCACTTAGAATTATATACTGCCCCATAGTGCTTTACAGCAGTCTCTGGACAGTTTACAATGTCAGCATATTGCCAACAATCTGGGTCCTCATTTTACTGACCTCATAAGGATGGAAGACTGAGTTAACCTTGAGCCCGTCAGGATCAAATTCCAGGCTGTGGGCAGAGTTAGCCTGCAACACTGCATTTTAACCACTGCACCATCAATGGTCATCAGTGATCAATGGTAGTGAACGGTAGTGAATATGCTTCAGGATTGGACCATTTCTTCCATTGAATCTCTTGTTGGCTAATTTATAGGCTTAGCTGGCTGGGTGGTGATTTTGTAGATACTTATCCATAGATCCCATGAAAGGGCAAGAAAAACAAGTGAAGAAATGTACATCAGAACGCAAAACCCACAACTTACATACTTGCATCACAAATTGGGCACAAATGTGCTGTGTTCTTGTGTTACTGCATATATGTCATCTTGATGCTATTTTGATTCACTGTAAATGCTTCTGTGTTTAAGAGAAGTTCTCTTTAATCTTTGGAAGAATAACATAATTCTTTTTAGTTTAATTGAGGGGAAAAAACTCATCAACAATTAGATTTTGACTATTTTGTTTTGGCTGAATTCCTAATAACTTTTCAGGCTTCTGTTTCTGCAGTTTTTGAGCATTGTAAAGATTTGGGGACCATAATGTAAGGAAGCCAATGGCAGATGCAAAGTACACACACACACACACACATATATATATCTGAAACTGACAGAAATTATAGTCTCTTCAATCGTACTTTAAAAAGTCGGGGAGTAAAACAATATCATTACTGCAAAGAAAACATGATTCTCAGATAATGGCTATGGGAAAAGCAAAATTTAAATTAGAGACATTCTGGTACACATTACATAAGTTAATGCATGTCTAGTTATGAGTAAGTCTTACATACTTGGTTTATGCAATATCTTAAGGCATAATATGACTTTGGTTTAGTGTATTATATGTACCCAGCATTGTGATTTAGAGATTATGCTTATGGTTTAGCACAATGTGTGAACCCTGCTTAGTCACAAATCATGAAGAAAACCATGGCTTAGAATATTGGATAAACCCACAGTGTCCGGTGGAGTTTACCTCTAATTATGTATGTATAAAATAACAATCTTGCTATCTAGCTGCTATAATATAGCTGCCTTGAGAACAACTTTTGCAGCTATTTCATGAACTGACTTGAATTAGACTCTGTAAATATTCAGCTATTGCTTACATGTCCCTTCAACTTTAAATCTTAAATAGATGTTTGATGGCAGTGAAATAGATTTTGATGTAGGGTCTCTGATGCTTCCATTGTTTCAGATGAAACAATCTGAACATACTCAGTGCATTGTTAATGTTATTTATATGCTTGGCTGATTTACTGGATTATCATTAGTGTGTTTAAGGTCAAACTGGGAATCAGTCTTGTATTTTTTCCTATATTGAGACTTTGGGAACTTATTGGGAAACTAGAAGCCTAGAAAGGCTGCGGAAATAAGGAATAAAATTTAATTCTATATTGTAATCAAGATATTGCACCATGCTGAAAATGAATTATACATGTTCCATAAAGACAATTAGAATAGGGGGAAAAAGATATATGCATGCAGAGTTTTCATTTTTCCTGGCTTACCTTACCTTCTATTCCTGGAACACAGGCAAAGCTTTGCGGGGAAAAAAGCTACTTTTCTACTCATTCCATGCCTGCAATCCCAAGCCTTGAGCCATACTCACGGTCTATACAGATAATTGACTATCGTTGTGTCTACTGTACACAAATAAATATACATGCCTCAGAATGAAATTTAGAACTATAGATTGGGGAACTGTTTTCAGATAAACATTTAAAATGATACTCATGAAATTAACTTGCCATCATTTGCCAATGAACTAGTGATGTTAATACTTTCTGAAAGATTACATGGAAGTAAATTTGTCATAATTGCTGGAAGCCCAATGTCCAAAGAGAGAGATAGGGAGAGAGAAAGAATTT